GAATCCTCCCCCCACCCCACACACACCTCTGGCCTATACCACAGCTCTTGTATGCATAAATAAATAAATCTTAAAAAAAAAATAAACGACTACTAGGTTTCTATAATCATAAGTTATTTTATAATTGAAGACTTGGTAAATGGAACTTAGGGTATCAAGACTGACAATGATAAGGGGCAGATACTCCACATTCTAAACTCAAATGCAGTAAACCAACTAACCAAGAACTTTCAAAGGGATGATATCAATTGGTTCTTCACCTTCAATAAAAATCCTACCCAAACTTTATAAGCGGTGAAAGAAGCCAAACACAACAGGCCACCTATTACAAGATTCTATTTACATGAAATCCTAGCAAAGGCAAACCCATGGTAACAGGAAGTAGATTAGTGGGTGTCAGGGTTTGGAGGGCAGTGGTAATGGCTGCTTTGGGGGGGTGATGAAATTATTCCAGAAGTAGGTAATTGTGATAGTTATGCAACGGAGTACAGTTTCTCCCCCAAAGTCCAAAAGAACAGCTCCTGTGAAATCTTTGTAAACCAAAATAATGAAAAACAAAGAGCAATTACCATTAAAGCTATATGGAAAAAAATTTGAGCCCTACCAGACCCAAAACATCACATCAAATGACACATGAGAACTCAAATAACATTAAGATATAGTAAAAGCAGTAATATCATAAATACATGACCGGTATAAAGCAATTATACCGGGAAGGGACTTGATGGTGTCACTCATTTCTCAGGTGTCTGCTGCCAGTATAACAGCTGCTACAAAACAAATGTTGACTGCTATTTTCACATTTGGTCCTAAAAGTAAAAATCTTCAAACATCTTTCAGTTATCTCACAAACGTAGGTCTGTCACAAAAGCAAAGTGGCATAAGAGAACCTTCAAAAAGTGGAGAGTACCTGCATACAAAAAACACTGAATAGTACACAGTTAAGCTGGTCAAAATAGTGTTTCTCCATGAAATTAAAAAAATAAAAAAGGGGGATTTCACTCAGTCTATGTCCATGAAAACAGGATCAAGTGGGTAAAGCGGTGTGTAAAGAGCTGCTCCCATACAAACTGGACTCTCCCTGGGAAGGGTGTGTGAGACTCACTGGACACCCTCCCCTCCTCTATTTTCAGTTGCTCAAGAACAGTCACAAGCTGACAAACTCATCCTAGAGTTCAAAGAGCACAGGTATTGAGCCACTGTCTTCCAGATGACAGTTTGAGGAAGAGGTTTGCTTCTACCACAAATCCCAGACAGTTTACAAAAGCCAAATGATGCAGACCAAAGAACAACTGTCACAGGAGCTGAGTGCACCTCAAGGGTGTGGGGGGCGGGGAGGAGGGGAGGAGGGAAGAGAAAGGTATATGTTTCCTGTGGGCCATGGCTCAAATCACACTGTAAAAACCCTGCCAAAATGTGCTTCCCTTCGCGAGACCGTCACTCTGGATAAACCCATTCTGTTGTTGGCATAATTGATTGCTTTAATTTGAGGTTGAGAGGCTATCAAGTGTTAATTATTAGTAAAAATGACTCAGTCAAGAAATGAGTGCTTTAACAGTATTTTGTCTTATCTCTCAAAATTCCTTGACTCTTTGATTATAACCTGAGAAATTCTAGACATCAAAGGACTGGAAAAAAACCCTAAAATTTCACCTACTCAAATTGTTGCCTTGAGGCAGGAGTTCCTTCTGTAACCTTAGTGCTGTGCTTTAACTTGCTGCACCACCAGGAAGGGCCCTCCTGTAACCTAATCAGGCATGTCTGCCCAATCCCACCCCAATATGCTAGCTTCAGAATCATGGTGAAGGGTCAAGCCTTCCTACTATCTGATGGAGTCATTCTTGAACATTAAAAATACCAACAGACTGTGCCATGTGGCAAAGACCACAGTAATATTTGTCTGTCCTGTTTAAAGTGAGAAGGCAATTTAACCATCTGTCCTGGCAACCCATTCTACAGCAAAACCACCCTGTCTGAAATGTCTTTCTTCTCTTTAATCTAAGTCCTTCTAATAGAGCCTCAAGCTAATTTTGTCCAGCCCACTTACAAATTATTTGGAACACAACTGTTTATCATCTGGATTATAGGATTAGGTAGTGTTTAAGGTTTATGGTGAGCAGTAAATAATGTGCATACTACACAGAGTTTAGTCTTTGGCACATAATAATGGCCTAATATAAATTTATTATTACCGTCATTATATTTTTGAGGACTCTTTCAATCACAAGGGGCAGACGCATGACTCAAAGTAATTACAGTGAATAAGAAAAAAAAGAGAGGTGCTGAGTTCATGGGCACCATTGTATGCAGGGCTCAAATAAGTGTCACGTTATTTGAATATTCTGTTTCCCCTCTCTTCTCTCAACTTTCAGACAAACTTTCTGAAAAGTAGAGACCAAGGGCTCCCTGGTTGTCTAGGGGTTGAATCTCAGGCCTGAGTTCCAGTCCCCACATATGGTATAGCGGACTTCTACAGTCTAGCCCACTGACCCCCTTCAAAGTTTAGTTCTGTAGATCCATCTGTTCGGCTCCCCACTCTCTCTGGTGAGAGAGAGTTCTATGCAAAAATTAAAAAAAATATATTTTTAAAAGTAGAGAGCAGAATGACAAACTGCAGACTCAGGTGGGGTAAACCAAACCTTAACCAGCTAAAACAGATCATCCCTGAAGAATGTACCAAATGGCAAGCAAATGACAAACAAAGTAGGAATTAAGCACCCAGCAGTGATCAAGACATACATTTCTGTCCTTGTGCAATTGTCTTGCAGTGGAAGGTAAAAGAAGGAAGATGATGGAAAGGAAACAGTTGCCCTCCACAGATACAAGGTCACTCCATATGTCACCGTCAAGGTCAGACTACAGCTTTTTCTTCTCCAAGCTAAGTAAACCCATCCTTTCACAACTACTCTCCCTGTGACAGATGTGTGCAAGTCCCCAAATCAGGTCTTCAGATAATTGTTTGTCTGGATTTTGAGCACATTTAGCTTATCCTGTGTAATCTTTGCCTGTTTCTAAGATGTGCCTATAGCTATAATAACAACCTTCTGCTTCCATTTTTGAAAGCCACATATTCTGTTTAGACTATTTTTGTATTAAATACAGGTCTTCAGCTTTCATGGTTTCCTTTAAAGAGGATTTTAGTAAAGTACTGTAAAAACCTGGTGATTTATTAGTCATCTAAACAGTCTTCCTCTGAATAATTTTAATTCTGTTTCTCTGTATTAACCAGTCTAACTGTAAACACGGAGGCCTGGAGGTCAGGTCTTTTTCAGAACCCAGGAAGTGTGACCTAACTAAAAAATCTCAACCTCTACCTCTCCCTGGGTGCTCAGAGAGGAATGTAGTCATGAAAACATTTCCTGTGTTCTTAGTATAAAACTCAACGTATCATGAAACTAATCTGAATCAAGCTGCTCTCACCTGAAGAATCTTGATTTCCCAGTGCCACAGCACTGGCTGACTCACTTCGCAATGCACACAATCGCATTTAAATTAAGCATCAGACTAACAGATTTGTGCCACTGTATGGATCTCTTCACTGATGCTAGGCAGGGGCAAACTCTCACCCAATTCAAGGTTGCTTGGGTGGTGGGTGGGATGTAGGGGGTGAGTGGGGTAGGGGATTGGTTGCTGTTGTTCTTGTTTGTATTTTTAAGTGATATTACGAGTTATGGGCCTTGAGTGCCCCCCTCCCCCCCACCCCTCACAATTGTTTTCTATTGGGCTAGCTTATCCTCCTTCCTCCCTGTTCATTTGCCTTGAATACTAGCTCTCTGTGAGGGCAATGATTTACTTTTAATCGGAGATAATGTCCAAATAGTCCATTCAGTTCATTCAAACCCCATCATTAAACCTGATCTCCAATTTGAACAAAACTGGATTTTTAATAGAAAAGTTCATCAACCCCCGCGCCCTTCACCTCATTTTGCCTTGGCTTTTGTCCACCCGAGTTTGCATCTTCCTTTGCCCGCTGGACCAAGCAAGCTTTAAGAGCACCCTCCCTGACTCTAAGGAAAAGAGGGGACCTCCGCGCAGGCGCAGACACCCCTGGGAGCAGTCCTTGCCCCACGCAGCCGCGAGCAGCACCTTTGCAGTTGGGAGTTGGAGTGAGGGGAGAGGGAGAATCTGCTCTAGGAGTCTCTAGGAGTTTTTTGTTTTAGCTTAATACCCTTATCTTTACAATCCACCAGGAAGGTCGGTTCCAAGCCTTCTTTCCTGCGCTCCGTCGCAAATTGGGTACCATCCCAGGTGCCGCTGCCTGCATTAGGAAAGGGACAGAACTTTCCCAGGGAGGTGCGGAGTGTCTCCGCTGCGCCTTCCCGGTTCTTCCTCCGAACCGCGATGCCAGTCTCACTACAGGGAACTTGTCTTATTTCCCTCCCGCCACCTCCTCCCCTCAAACGTGGGCGGAGAGTGAAGGCTGCTTCTGTGTTTATTTTGTAAACCTTTAAAACCAACTGCGCTCACCGTCATGGAAGCCCCCTTGGCTCTTGCCCAAAGAGAGCTGTAAGAGGTCCGGGGCTTGGTGGACCGGGTGGGAGCGGCGTGAACTGCGCGGTGGCTACAAAGGTGCTGGGCATGTCCACTTCAACCTCCCCCCCAACCCCACCCCACCCCACCCCATCCCGCCCAAGTGCTGGGCGGTACGTGGCGAGCAATTAGTGGGAGTGAGTGTGCGCGTTCTCACTCTGCGGGATCCCGGCGCAGTCCACAGTGTGGCCCCTCACTGGCTCACGCACCCGCACTCGGGAGCCAGGGGAGGGCGGGAGGGAGATCGCGGGAGGCGGTGGCAGGGCGGCGGGGTGAGAGCAGGGGGGCGCTTGCAACCTCTGGGATTGGCTGAGCCACCTCCCCCTACTCGGCGCCGCGCGCCCCCAGTCGGGAGCCCGGACCGCTCAGCCCGCCCCCTCTGGGCTGGTTCCCGCGGGAGGGAGGACGCGCAGGGGCGGGACCGGCTAGGCGCCCCGCACCCGACCCCCGGCGCACCAGGATAAAACCCGGTTGTGGCGCGCGGGAACCTGGGGTCCTGCAGCCTCCCGAGCGCGGGGAGGCTGGGTCGGGTCCCACCAGCTGCCGGCGCCCCTGCCCCCCAGACCTGGCTTGGGGAGCGGAGCGCGCAACGCGCGGGCACACGGCTGTCGGAGCGCCGAGGCGGTACCTTCAGCCCAGCGATGAGAACCCTGGAGAATCAAGCCGAGCTGGGGGAGACGTTTCCTGCAGCCGCGCTTGTTGCCGCCGCCGCGGCTGCTTAAACTCCCCCAAAGTTGCTAGCAGGCGAGAGGCTGCCGCCCGCTGGGAGCTGGAGGAAAGGAACTGGGAAGATGTAAGAGTGACAGACGGAAACAGACAGACGCACAGACCTTCAGAAGACACCAGGGTCGGCGGCGGCCTATCCCCAGAATCCGTGAGGCTTCCTAGCTCTGTGAGTTGCTTTCTGGATGGGAGGCTTGTTAAGTATTTCCGTGTAATTGTTTATAGGTTTCGCTTGTGTATTTTTGTGCCTGCTGGGAGGAGTTAAAAAAGAAAAGGTCGCAGGATGTACCTTAAGAACCTTCTTGAGTTTCTGATGTAGAGATGGTAGTATCGCTGCACTGTGATAAGTCTGTAAGCAGGCTATGTGTTGAAATTGTACTTGACAGTAAAAAGACCACGTAGGCTCTCTGGTGTGAAATATAACCTCCATTTCAAAAGTTATTGGACAGAAAGCAAGATATAGCTCTTAAGGGTGAACTAGCCATAGTTAACTTTGCTTTCTCTCCCCCTCACCCCTTCACTATTGATTGTTACCAGGTTCCCTGGTGGGTGGCTGAGCTGGTGCAAAGGCCTGAAGAGTCTTAGAAGCGACCATAATGTCTTTCCGTTTGCATACACTGCCCACCCTGCCTGGAGTTGTCAGACCCGGCTGCAGGGAGCTGCTGTGTTTGTTGGTGATCACGGTGACGGTGAGCCCAGGTGCCTCTGGGCTGTGCCCCACCGCTTGCATCTGTGCCACTGACATCGTGAGCTGTACCAACAAAAACTTGTCCAAGGTGCCCGGGAACCTGTTCAAGCTGATTAAGAGACTGGATCTGAGTTATAACAGAATCGGGCTGCTGGATTCTCAGTGGGTTCCGGTATCGTTTGTAAAGCTCAACACCCTCATCATCCGTCATAACAACATCACCAGCATTTCCTCAGGCAGTTTTTCCACAACTCCAAATTTGAAGTGTCTTGACTTATCATCCAATAAGCTGAAGACTGTGAAAAGTGCAGTGTTCCAAGAGTTGAAGGTTCTGGAAGTGCTCCTTCTTTACAACAATCACATTTCTTATCTTGATCCTTCAGCATTTGGAGGGCTCTCCCAACTGCAGAAACTCTACTTAAGTGGAAACTTTCTTACACAGTTTCCCATGGATTTGTACGTTGGAAGGTTCAAGCTGGCAGAACTGATATTTCTAGATGTTTCTTATAATCGGATCCCTTCCCTGCCATTGCATCACATAAATATAGTGCCAGGCAAACAGCTGAGAGGCATCTACCTCCATGGAAACCCATTTGTCTGTGACTGTTCCCTTTACTCTTTGCTAATCTTTTGGTATCGCAGGCACTTTAGCTCAGTGATGGATTTTAAGGATGATTATACCTGTCACCAATGGTCTGACGCTAGGCACGCCCATCAGGTACCTCTGCTCCATGACAGCTTTATGAATTGTTCTGACAGTATCATCAATGGTTCTTTCCGTGCACTTGGCTTTATTCATGAGGCTCAAGTAGGGGAAAGGCTGATAGTCCACTGTGACAGCAAGACTGGTAATGCAGACACCGACTTCATGTGGGTCAGTCCAGATAACAAACTGCTTGAGCCAAATAAAGACATGGAAAACTTTCATGTATTTCATAATGGAAGTCTGGCTATAGATAGTCCTCGTTTTGAGGATGCTGGAGTGTATTCCTGTATTGCCATGAATAGACAGCGCCTCTTAAATGAAACTGTGGACATCACAATAAACGTGAGCAATTTCACCGTCAACAGATCCCATGCCCATGAGGCATTCAACACAGCTTTTACCACTCTTGCAGCCTGCGTGGCCAGTATAATTTTAGTACTTTTGTACCTCTATCTGACACCGTGTCCCTGCAAGTGTAAAACCAAAAGACAAAAAAATATGCTAAACCAAAGCGGTGCCCATTCATCTGTTCTCAGCCCCGGCCCCAAGAGTGACACCTGCGCTGAGGAAAGGAAGACAGGTGCTGGGAAGAGAGTGGTGTTTTTGGAACCCCTGAAGGACACGGCAGCAGGGCAGAATGGAAAGGTCAGGCTTTTCCCCAGCGAGCCGGGCCTAGCCGAGGGCATCCTCAAGTCCACGAGGGTGAAATCTGACTCCGATTCAGTCAATTCGGTGTTTTCAGACACCCCCTTCGTGGCATCCACTTAATTTTGTGTCTGTGTGTGTGTATGATGTGTTAATTCAATCTTTCCACGTTTAAGTTTATGTGTCATCTGCAAAAAAAACAGCAGGATAGATTTGTTTTGAAGTATAACCAAAAGGCCTCTTTAGGCGGTTGATAAGGAAATGTGCTGAAACACGTTGGTTCCGGGGGTATCAGAGAAAGATGGATTTGTTTTCCAAAGTATAAATTGTAGATACACTATGTTACTCTTTCATGACACCGATCCTTCCTGGAGGTGATATACCTGCCATTCTCCATTTACTCCAGCTTCTTGAAAGAAAAAAATTATTTCATGTATTAGTGTTTGTTAAGAGATTATTCAGACCAAAGTTGTGTTGTTATAGAAAAACATTAATGTCTTATTTCTTTCTGAAAAATGTTGATGGTTCAAGCCACAATTGTTTAGAAAGCACAAAGTAAAGTTAGATTTGGAAATTATTCAGTGAATGTCATCATTTCAGAACAGAGTGAACAGACTGTGCTGGTAAAATTTACTGGATAGTGCCATGTCCCATATGATGTTAGATAAATACTGCAATAAAGGTATATTTGTTTGACTGTCTTCACTATGTATATTTCCTATCCTTGTACAAAAAGATCACATGGGGAGTTTAAAGTCATTTTTTGTCATCGTAAATACATAAGTGTCAATACCAAAGTGTTTGGGTAACTTCTTAAACTTTTGTTCTAGCAGACTAATACTTGTTTCATATGCTTGTGTGTATGTAAATCTTAAATTATATTAATTATTAAATAGATCCTACTGTACTGTACTTTGGACATTGGAATCAATGTAAATATATGTATTGTATGACTTGATGTTCTGTTATATTTGACTATTTAAAAACATAAATCTAAAATGTTTTATGTGAGTGATTGTTTTGCTTTGTGTAAAGCACCTGCTATAGCAAGTATTTCTCCAAAGTTCTTGGAGTTGCAGTACACTGTTTATTATTTTTTAGAGGTGGAAAAACTCTAAAGTGTTCTACACCATTTAAACCTTCTACATCACATTTACTTCGATATAATATGTATTTCAGCCAGGTTTGGAAGATACTCAAGATGTGATATTGCAATACTAGAGAGCCCAGCAGACTTGACTTTGCATCTGCTGTGGGTAACTGAGGGTCCTTTCTGGACAGAGTATACCTCAGCTGTTCAATGAAGGCTTTAGGCTACATAATGTTTAAGGATCATTTCCTGATGATCTTTGCTCCATCACAGACTTGATGAAACTGTCCTCTAGTGAGGGGATTAAGGGAGACTGAGGATAGACTCCCCTTACCTGTGTAGCAAAAAGGATCATTTTGGATCATCGAGCCTGACTCCTTCCCTTTCTCAGGGAGATGTGAAGCCAGGTTGCTGGCTGTCTCTGGCCACATCAGGAAATAGCGACAGGGACAGAGGGAGGATTCAGTTTCAGGATTCCTCCAGTGGAGCTAATAGAGTCAAAAGATCAGTTAAGTATAACAGTGAGAGTGGAGAAGGAGCCAAATGATGAGACGTAAGAGTGGTTGGAAAAAAGCAAAGGAATATTAGGGATGTTTTATCCCTGGGGCTAAAAGAAGGAGTTTTAAGAGTTGGCAGTGGGTACTAATGGTAAATAAAGAGAAGTAGATGAGGACGGGAGACCTGTCACTGACTTTGACTATGGTGATTTCAGGGAATGGTGGCCACTTGTTGGGAGCTTAGAGAGTGTGCCCAGCCAGGCTTCAGAGGTAGACACTGGTCACCAAGGGGTGTAGGGGTGAGTAAGTGGCCAGGATGGATCCTTGGGAGATAGATGCAGAGCTAGAGATTTGTGGGAAAATTACTTACTGCATGGTGTTAAAAACTTACTACCTTTTTGCTGAGAGAGGCCTATATGGTCTTCTTGCCTGCTTGTGCCTATGCAAGTGTCCTTTACTCCTCTGTCCTCTTTCCTAATAACCTTGTTCATTAAATTAATAAATAACCCTTATTGCCTTTGCTTCTTAAACGGAAACTTCACCTGATAAGTTCTTTGAAATACAAAGGTGTTATAGGCAAGTACTTTGTTCCAGTTTCTGCCATTTAAGTGACTGGGGAAAGTTTTATGATTTCATTTTTCGGTATTTGGAGAAACTTAGGCTCAGAGATTCTGTTATTTATTCAGTCACATGGGTAGGAAATGTGGTTACATTTAGCAGACAAACATGACAAAACTACTAGGAACCTGGAGTTTGTGTAGAGTCTGACAGTGGCTGGCTCTAAGGTGCCTTGGGTAAAGGACAATTTGAAGTGAGATCTAAACTGACAGAAACAAAACAACAACAAAAATTCAGATTATTGGAAAGCAAAGCTGTCTGTTGAACAGAAGTAGGAAATCATGGTGGAAAAGTGGGAATGAATGAAAATCTTGATATGGACTTTTAAGTTCTTAGGTATTATATTTGGGGGTGAGGGAGTGGGAGGTGCCTCAGGAACTTAATCACATGTGTTTTAAATATAATTGTCCTGTTCAAAACTTATGTAACTCTTCTTCCAAGTATTCATCTGGATTTATGTAACTGGGTAATTCTTTCAAACTACTTCGTACTTTTCATTACACAGTTATGAGGGAGGTGAATACTCATTGGAGAATCAAACCAAGACAGAAATGTGAAATTTTCCTGGGTTTAATGTATTGTCTTACCATACTTAAAACATAATATGGCTTATGATATATATTCTATAACTGATCTTGAGTTAAATTTCTTAAATGGACTTTAGATTTATCATCTGAAAACATGACCTAAAATATTTTCTTATTTTTAGTCAAGTGCTACAAACATTCTCACTGTCTGGCATAGAGAGACTAAGACATGTTTATTTTTAGCTTTTGTTGCTTGAATTATTTGCCTGAAACTTTTTTCCCAAATATTTTTCCAAAATATTAATCACAAGGGACATAGGTGAAATTTATGGGTGTGGAAACATAAAAGACACAAGAAGACACATTGTTGGTCCAGAATCTAAAAAAGACTTCTTACCTTGGATCAGCCTGGTTAGTACTGTCAAAAAAGAACACAGCATAAACACTTTCTAGCAGGCACAACTTGCGCCTATGCCATAGCTACTGCCTAATGATTTCTACTTTCTAGTCATCTGGTCTACCGAAAGATTTAGTAATAGCTCTGAAACCGGGCATGTGGATAGAATCACAAGAAAAGTTAAATGAACAAAGATTTCTAGTAGTTACTCTCTACGTAGTTCCCAACCAGACATTCTGATTCAGAAGGTTTGGGATAAATCCTGTACACATATTTTGAAAAAAAAAATTCCAGTGAAACTTTGATTCTTCCTGTTCTAAAGAAATACATCCTGACATTGAACCTTAGAAAATTTTGTGTTTGGGGCTTTGCCAGAATACATTGTTGTTAGCTAATGGATTTATAAAAAGAATATTTTTAGTGCTCTCAAAAAATTCTTTATATGGAGCCTCCCTGATAGCACAGGGATTAAAGATACAGTGTTATCAAGGGATTGCCAGCCGTTACGGCACGAATTGGAACCCTGGCCAGGAAGCTGACCCACATGGCTCAGCAGACCTCTCCGGTTTCACGCGCTACTCCCCTAAGCAGTGTATTTCAGTATATTTACCTGTTCTGTTCCCCACTCTGTCTCTGGTGAATCCTCTCACCCCCTGCACTGTTGGCCTACACCCCAGTTCTTGTATGCATGAATAACATTTTTAAATATTCTCTACATATTGGAAAAATAAGAATTTGGTTCTCTGATTCTACATGAATTCTTGAGTAAATTTTGATTGATTTATAACATGTTTTTCTAACTTTTGAAATGTAAAATAATCATTTTAAGATTATTAGCTTTTTGTATCTTTCGTTTTATAAGCTGGCTTGAAATTAATCATATCAGGCTTGTTTATACTAAGCTCTAAAACTTTCAGTTGCATTACACAGAACCAAACACCATTGTTTTTTCAGCATATTGGAATAATAATTTTTGAAGAGTGCACTAAAATTCTTTTAATGTTTTTCTCATCCTTCTCTGTCCACAAGTTAGTACCTATTTTTTACCTACTACAGTCTGAAACTTAGTGAAAAGATGACTAATTTGCCTTTATAACTACTATACTGGATGGTACCATTGTAAGTTCTTACTCAATATTGTTGATAGGCTCTTAGACACCTACAGCTTTGAAGGAAACTATGTCTAATTTCCACATGGGTTGATTGGTATAAACACAAGTCAAATTCCTACTGCATATTTCTGCTCATGAAAACATCACCAAACTTCTAAATATCCAAAATATTTGTAACATTAAAATATTTATATTCACTCATTCATTGAGTCATTCATTTTCCTACCTGTTTATTTGGATTCAGGGCTCCAGGAGAACAGGAGAGATTCACCCAACCCAGGACAAGGTGGAACCAATTTCAGACAGGATACCTTTTATCACAGGCGTCTCAAGCACACCCACAATCACTCAGATCCAGGCAATTTAAATATGTGGTGAAGCTAACACGCACATCCTTGGGATGTGGAAAGAAGCCACGCAGACACAGAGAGAACGGGTACGCTAACTCCACACACAGTGACCCTTGCCAGGCATCAATTTTTTCCTCATTGTTACAATGACACAACATTGAACAAAACAATATTATTCAAAGATCCCCTGTATACACAGAATAGAGCTGAAAGTGTAACAACTTCCTAAATAATTTAGAGGACAATTAATTTATGGGACCATTGTTGCTTGTGGAAAGATTTCAAGGAGGGGAAGCTCTTCACACTGAGGCCCAGGGAGAAGAGCAGGAAAACAGACCCTTCCTAAATTGTACAATTTGACACTTAGGGTATTGATACTGGCTTTAATGTATTAAGGACCTACTAATTGCCAGGCACACTAAAAGAAATGGTGTTTATTTATTATCATTTCTCAACACAATCACCTGGAAAAAGGGAAGTTTTACCCCCAGTTACAGGTTGGAAAAAGAGACTAAATCAAAGATTATTTCTTCCGTTGAGTCATTTAATAAGTTGTTATCATGAAAATCATTTAAACATATCTTTGCATAGTACAGTTACTGTGTTCTGCCAATAGTATGACTTTGTAAAACTTGAGCTTAAGTAAACTTTCTATAAATGTAGAATGTAAATGAACTAATGCTCACAAAAAATCTGGGAGAAGAGGAAGGCCAGGGGGTCATATCACCTGAGCATCGTAAAGGTGGAAATTTTTTTGCCTGTACAATATATTGCGTCACAAGTAGCAAAATTGACAAACCTCCATAGAGGTTTGGTAGAGAAGGCCTCTGCCAATCGACTGACTCCTTTTAGTCTGTTTACTCCTCACACATGAAATTTCTTAATATGTGAAACAAACATCTATTTTGTCATTTAAGACTACATTTTGTCGGAGACCAGCTCCAACTATTGAGGTGTCTGGAGGCAAGACAGGCAGGACCCTAAGGTGGGACGGCGTCGGCAAGCGGAGATTCCTAAAAAGGGGAGAAGGAGAAAAAGGGGAAAGGGGGGCGAGGAAGACACAGGAGTTGGAGTTGGGTGCAAGTCTTCCTGCTCTGCCTTCAGCAGAGGTTTATTTTATACATTAGGAGCAAGCAGTGGGATGACATCATCACACGACCTGGGCTGAGAGATTACAATCATCTTTTTTTTCTAAGAACAGTTTAGGGTCGTATTGCCCTTTAGCTGAGATATAACATTCTAAAATCAATTAAAGTTAAAAACAGGTACATAAGTGCACAAAGTCTATGACTAATATTACTATAGTGGAGATCAACTAAGATAGAAGTCCCTTAAACCTTATCTACTACTTAATGGGTTTTTGTTTTTCTGCCTGAATCATCCTGGGAGACAGAAGAGGAAATTCCTTGCTAATCAAATCTCTGAATAGGAGACATAGGTGAATTTCCTTGTCTGAAGACTACATAGTAGAATCCTGAAAAACTAGCCAGAAAACTTTTGTGGATTCCTTTAAGGTGTAGCAGGTGGAAAACTTGACTAGTTTAAAAACAGGCAACCTGGATGAATTTCCACATCTAAAGGCCAAACAATAGGAAGTTTGAGTAATTCTTTAGAAGCTGAATAGAAGGCTAGGTGAGATGATAGAATGATAAGATTTGGGTTATCCTCCATCCGGCAGTGAGAGAGACTTTGCAAAAACAGCCCTTTTGCTTTTATTAGTCAGTAGTCAAGTCACTTGACTTCAGGGGAATTTTTTCACTCTGGTGCAGTGCTTGCTTGTCAAGGCAGGCAGGCCTTGTGCGGCTGAGGTAATCCAATTGTAAGCTGAAAGTTGCTCAGAATATTTTGATATTATGGTTATACCAAAAAGGGAAGTCATAACATAAGCTAGAGTGAAAAGTCCGATTTTTCAGAGCTTTTCCTGAATCTACCTGGAATCTGTCAGACGATAGAGGTTGCATAGCTTGTATTAACATTTCAAGAAATTTACATGAATAGGCCCTCCCTAGTGGCGCAGTGGGTTAATGCATTGCACTAAGAAGCTTAAGCCAACTCCACGTGAGTTCGATCCCCGCCTGCCCCGGAGGTGACCACATGGCGTGGCAGACCTCTCCTGACCCGCCCGCTGCTCCCCTCAACAGTGTACTTCATTGATCTGCCTGTTCTGCTCCCCACTCTGTTCCTGGTGAATCCTCTCACCCTCTGCATCTCTGGCCTATACCCCAGTTCTGTATGAATAAATAAATAAATCTTTTAAAAAAATGACATGAATAAATGACTAAATTCAGCTTTTAAATTGGAAGTAATCTAAATTTATAAAGTAAAAATAACTCTACTGGAAGAAAGTATTAAGGTCTTTT